AAAGATGTGCCATTTGCATAGAAACTGGAGCAGCAAAATGCCTTTTATAAGTTGAAAGTGGTACTCATTACCGCTCCAATATTGCAACCATATGATCTTAATCTTCTTTGTGTGCTTGATGTTGATGCTTTCGACTTTGCTATTAGAGTGGTCTTTCAACAAGACTTTGGTAGGGACCTTCAATTTGTAGTGTATGAATCATGGAAGCTCAAAAGGATAGAGTACCATTACTTTGCATATGATCGAGAGCAATTAACAATTGTATACGCCATAAAGATGTAGTGATACTATCTATTGGAGAAGCCAATGGTTGTTTAGACTAACCATCGACCCTTGTTACATGATTTGCATCTCAAAAACATGAAATCTTAGTATTATCGTTGAGAAGAACAGTTGCATCTTTTTGATATCCAACTTGAGTATAAACAAAGGTGACAATATATTGTACCAAATAGTTTATTATAGAGAGCAGATATGAAGGACAAATCAAGAGATGAGACAAAATTTACTACTATTAATAGTATCATTTTAGATCTAAAGAGATAGAATAGAAGAAAGCTATATAACAGATGCTTATTTCAAGATGGTTAGCGATCGGCTAAAAGTGGACAATATATAATATTAGGATTATACTTTTAGTGATGGCTTGCTCTATTTTAAGAAGCAAATTTATGTATCCGACAATGCCAAATTCTAAATGGGTATACTTCACGAAAGACATGACATTCCAATATCTGGACATCTAGGATGAGAGAAGACCCTAGAATAGATCTTAAGGACATGATTTTGGGTAGGTTTGGACTATGATGTTTGAACCTTTGTACACTCCTGTGGATCATGTTAACATGATAAAACATGCAACATAGCATCTCCTGACTGTTGTAGCCAACAATGGCTTACAACGACCTTACAAGAAGCATGGCACCACCACCACCAGTTGCAATTGATGATCAACAAGAATATGAAGTGGTCAACATTTTGGAACATTGCTACCTTTGTCATGGCAATGGACATCCACAACTTCAGTACAAAGTTCTTTGGAAAGGTTATCCCATTCACAATGCAATGTGAGAACCTACACAAAACTTCACCCATTTTTAAGAAACAATTTGGAGATACCATTCGGAACAAAACAAAGATGTTCCGTAGTAGTGGAAAGGAATTAACTATAACATGGTATAAATAAGATAATTATATAGATAATTAGAACCATAGAAGTTTCTAGAATTGAGATTAGGTTAGTGGACCGTATAGGATCCATTAAGGAACATTCTAAAAAGAATTTAGGATGGTTTTTTAGATGGATTCTATGATAGAATCTTCTAAAAAAGGCTTAGGATAGTTATCTAGGTGGAACCCATAATAAAATATTCTAAAAAAAGAAATTTAAGGTAGTTTTTTAAATAGAGCCTACTATCTAAGAACATTATAAAAAGTTGAGGGTGGTAGGACAAGGTATAAATAGGACTAATCAGGGCCTTTTGGGACATCTGGTTAGATATAGCTTTAGACTCTTTCTCTTAGTAAAGTTTGATTTTGCATCCTTTTGTTCAATTCTGTTCAATTCTGTTTTTGTTTTTTCAGTTTGTCTTTCATTTTTTATTATATTTAGTTCTGTTCAATTTTATTCTCCTCTAATTTATCATATTTTGTGATGAGGTTTTATGTTATTGTGGAATAGAAAGATCTTGGATTTTTGAGATTGTCTAGTTTTGTTTCAATACATATAAAAAAACTAACCTTACAAGTTAAGTTACGTGTCTTACAAATTCAACATATTTTGGAGGTCTTATAGGACATCACTATATAGTTCTTAGTTAAGAGTATATATGGAGGCAAGAGTGAAGCCTTCTTCACTCTTGTCAATGTCTTTTTAGTCTTTAGTGTTATTTTAAGACTTTTTAGTCTTTTTATTTTTGGCAATAGCCATTTTAGTTCAATACTATATGATTTTTAAATAACTTATATTTCTTTTAGTAAGAAAAGAGTCTATTGAGGATTTCTTGTTTTAAGATTCATGTCCTTGACATCCAACCATATAGTTGCTATTGTAGCTGGACAATTTTTTTTTCTAATATATTATCTTATTTAATAGTTGTACTTTTTATTTTGTGGTTGCATTGTTATATGGCATAATTTTCTATTTAAAAATATACTAAATATCTAGCTGTAGAAAGTTTAGCTTTAATTTATTAGACAAGTTTCAATAAGTAATGTTTTTTTTATTATAGAGATTATAAAAATATAATAATATTTAAAGATATTCTATTGATAAAAATTTTTATATTTAAAAAGATTTATACATAAGACTTCCTAAAGTATCTAGAAATTTCCTAATATCTTTTGCTACACCAAATCATAACTAATTTTTTGCTGGTAAGTTTGATTTTCCATAAGTTCAAAGAAAATATATAATCTTCTTATAAATATCCATCTTTATATCATAATTTTTCCATAGCTCCATATCTCTATCTTTAACATATGTATAAAGTCTTGGCTCCCAAAAACCCCTTTACTTTGTATAAAATACTCAAATTGTAGCAAAACCACTTCAAAACATTTTTTTTGTGCAAAGGGTTTTTTTTCTTCTCTGAACTTTAGAAATTGATATCTCTTGATTCAATTGTTCAATTTTTTTCATAATTCTAGATAATGTAGAATTTACCTTTAAAATTTATTACTAAAAAAATAAACTATAAATCTACTACATATCATCTGGTATCTTAGAAATCCTAGTAGGTGCTTTAAACTTAATATACAAGCACCCAAATACTATTTTCTCCATATCTCAAAAATCTATATTTCAAATGTCATAAAATTTATATATAAAGTTTAGTTACATAATAACACATATTATTAGAAATTCTTAGCCAAAAGCTTATCAAATTGCTTAAGATATAGCTCAAATTACAACCACTAGTAAATTAGGTCTATGCTTAGATTGCAAGCATTGAATTCAACTTCCTATAACTCCTTCATTTCAACTTAAAATTCATCAAAAAATATACAAAATATATAATCTAAAAAGTACTTTCTTCAATTCCATCCATTGATTTTTTATTACTTTTTGTGCGCATGTGTTATATCCAAAAGAATGACAATAAGTACAAAATCCACATCTTAACTTTAAGTGCCTATATCTTTTTCATAAAAATTCCAAATCATCTAAAATTTGCACCAAAACCATAGCTAAAAACCTAAAATCTTTGATTCTAGCCTCCCAATTTGAATTGCCTTCAAAAAAGTAACCCTAATTCCTAATAAGGCCTCGAATGTCCTCCTTGAAGTCCATTGGACATGCCTTTAGGCCAATAGCAATAGAGATTTTTATTATCCATCTCCATTCATCCATATGAATGCCCTAATTACTCTTTTTGCTACCAAAATTCCTTTCTAATTCTTTTTTTATAATATTTACATAATATATGTCCTAAACATCAAATAAAAGAAACAAAATAAGATTTCAAGAGTCACCAATGTCTAATAAAGGTCGATCTAAATATATGAAAACTATTATCAATATAAAATCAACCTCAATAATAGCCCTTTTAAACAACCACTTTAAATTAATAATCTAACCATATTTTGTAATTAATTAAAATCTAATAATATGGCTCTTACTACATTATATAGTAAATTATACATTAAATATTTATATGTATTATTTTAACATAGTAATTGAACTACAACACAACAATGTCGCTTCTTTAAACAATGTTGAGTAATATGCTTAGGTTCTCCACAATATAAGCATAATCCTTCCTAACAACAATGAGTTTCTTCTTGCTCAATAAGAGGTTTAAAACATATTGCATCAATTGCATATCTTTTATTTCCAAATGTATGTATTGAAAAGATGTTGGTATTGCCATTGAATTAAAGTAATGTAGAGGCGTACTTGTGTAACTCTCAGATTAAAATTCAAAAAATCGATTGTCACACTTCACAACAAAGTCAATTGCTTGACTCAATATTTGATTTATTTTATTTTATTTTATGTTTTTTAGTGCTACAAAAGTCTTTTGCTTCTTTAAGGTTTTGTTATAATTCATATCCTTGACAATTTCTTCATAAAAAAAAAACTTCTTATAGATGCCCTAGCCTTTTGATATAATATAAAATAAGAAGATTCTATGAAATGGAAAAAATAACATTTTTATTACAAATCTAATGATGTCAATTTATTTCTTGATACAACTATTAGAAAAACTTGTTTATTAAAAATCAAGATTTTTTTTTGAATGGTTATTTCAAGTAGTTCTTTGATCTTACTTTTGGTTTTTCCTAAAAACTACTTCTTAAAATAGGCGCAACAAAAAAAAATTAAAGAACAAAGTTTTTTATGTTATGTAGAAAAAATATACTTTCTATCTTATTTTTCTTGTTTGGACATTTGGACTAGTATCTCTAAATATAAGGCTAATCTAGTGAGGCTTCTTAATTTAAATTAATAAAAGAGTTACAAAACTATAACCTCTCCACTTATCTTCAAAGAATAAATTCTCTTTAAGAGTCTAAAAAACTAATCTACTAATCTATATGGAGATTTCAAGATTCAATGCTAGCATACTAGATCAATTTCAATACTTACCAAAAATACAACAAACTTTATACCAAATAACAATTAAAAGCTAAAATATTCTAAAAATAAGAGTTCAAATTTTAAACCACTATTCAAGAATTATTCTAATCACAATCAATATTAGACATGGTACATATACAACAACATGCAAAATACTAATCATCAATGTGCAACAACTGCATTATAGCAACTTCTACATATAATGTTTCCTCTTTTGTAAAAACATATTAGAAAGGCTTCTCTAACAAAGCAAAAGACATAAACCTCCTCTTACGATGAACTTCTCACGAAATGAAGAAAAGTCCATTATCTTACTCATCCATTCCACAAGCGCCACAAAACTCAGTGGAATATACGAAATGGGTGGGGAAATGAGTGCGGAAATGGGTGCCGGTGAGCGCCGCCGGAGCTGCATCGAAACACTAAAACGGAAGGAAGAGTGAAGGTGAAGAAAGGAGAGCTATGGCGGCAAACCTCGCGAGCAGCGGGGAGGGCATGTGGAGCCTGCTGGGTGCCCAGATGATGCTTTCGAGGCTGCGCTGCTGCTTCATTCATTGCGCCTCACCCTGACCTTCTCGCTTTCCCTCCACGTCCCAAAGACGGCGCAGCACCGCTTCATACCGCCAGGTATGCGCAGCGTTGCGTGATTGCGTTTGCATTCTGGTTTCTGTTGTTGGCATCTCCTCTCCATGGCTTTTTCACCACTTGTTGCGGCGCAGAGGGTGAATGCGTGCTGTGCGGCCAGTGGGAATTCGGTTTGTTTTGCGGTTTTAAGCTTTGGTTTTGGATTTCTGAGTCAGCCCTAAGTGTGCTTTCAGCTCCCAGTTGCGTCGTTCGTGAATTGGGTGCTGAGATTAGTGTAGTTGTGGGTTTGAGGTTTTTAAGGTAAGTTGGTTGCCTGCGAAGGGGAGGCAAATGGTGGATCGCCGTAGGAATGTCATGAACTTGTGTGGGAGGTTTTCTGTCCCATTCGAAGGTTTGAGGTTTGCTGCATCGGGTGTTGACTGATTAGAGTGCAATGTGTAATTGCTCAGGTTTTGCAAAGAATTGTTTGCCAGAGGCTGCCACTTTGGAAGAAGCTGAGCGTCAACATTGCCTGGATTGGTATGGGGATCTTGTTGGCCTTGCTGGATCCATGTAACTAATGCATTTGGATCTTGTTTGTAGAACCACATTGGAGACACCGCGTGCTACTCCATTCGACAGCCTTCTTCCTACCGTTGAATCGTGGTTAAATTCCTTCGGAGTCAGAAACTGTGAATGCCGGAATTGTTGTTCATGGTAGCTCGTATGCTTTTGGCAGTGTGACGTGCCTCGTTGTGGATTTGTGTAAATTTAGGCTTAGCATAGAAATCGAAGCGTTTTTAATTAATCATTGATGGGCAGACATGACGTCTCAAAAAAGTATTTCAAGCTTTTTCCAAGCGCCCAAGAGATTGAAAGTGGTAGAAGAAACCGCAGCAAGCGCGAGGTCAAAAGAAGATTCTTCCAGCGATGTTACTCCAACGGAAGAAAATGACGACGTGTCTGTTGAAATAGCGCCGCCTGCGGAAGGCAAAAAGAAGCGGAAGGAACGTGAAGACAATGAAGAACAGGAAAAACCCTCGACAGAAGTGCCGGAGTTAAAAGATAGTGTTGAAAGTCAAGAGAATGCCTTGCCTGAAATGACCCTGGAGCAGAAGCAGAGAATGGAGGCCAATAAGGCGGGAGCACGAGCTAAGCGAAATCTCAAAACTTGTGAAGAGCATGTAGCTAATGCAAAAGGTAGTGGTCTCGGTGTCTGCAATACTATTTCCTGATAGTTTTTACTTTCATTTGGGTGTTTCTTGATTTCTAGGTGGTGGGTCTTGTTTCATAAAGCATATTATATCCTATTTAGAGGGCATGTCTGTAGATTGCTGTACTCATGTCATACTCGTGAAATTGGCAGAGGCTGGAGTTGCATTTCCGAAGTTTTCTCTGTTGCTGGTCGATGAGAGCTGGCTTGAAGTATTGCGAGAAGAGTTACAAAAGCAGTACATGGATAAACTGTATCGGTTTGTACTGGAAGAAGCATCTGGCAAGTTTCCCATCTACCCTCCTGCGGCTAAAGTGTTCAATGCTTTCAACACCTGCCCATTCAACTCTGTGAAGGTTGTCATTCTTGGTCAGGTGAGGACCTGTGTTTTAATGAGAAGCTCAAATCCTCTGAGTGGATTTAATCACTTCATAAAGTGGGGACTTGTTGCTTTTACAACCCATTTGTAATGCATACCTCAAGAACTCCGACATATGCATCTATATAATTATTGTCTTTAACCATTTGTGGGATGATTATTGTTGTTTCTCTACTCGCTGGATCCTAAAGGTCTAACACGCGTCTCATGGGATAAACACTTGCAGGATCCTTATCATGGTCCTGGGCAAGCAATGGGCTTGAGTTTTTCAGTTCCGGAAGGGATCAAAATTCCATCGAGTTTGGTCAATATTTTTAAGGAGATTAAAAATGATGTTGGATGTCCTATCCCTAAACATGGCAATCTGGAGAAGTGGGCTTATCAGGTGCGTAGCATACTGCGATGCCTCGTTAAAGTAGTTCAACTATACAAGTCCATTAATATTTCTCCACTTCTGCGGGTGAGGCAAGTGCATGACGTCCCACTTTTCTGCTTATTTTTTCTGTGTGCTTCAGAAGGTCCTCATGACTTAGAAGCTTGGTGTAATATATGGTAGTTTGATTTTCTTCTGCCGTTGGCCTTTCTATTTCGGCTAGCAGTGGTTTTATTGCACGAGATGAATAATGGTTAGCCATCCTGCTTAAACTGCTATGTACTTGCAGGGCGTGCTCCTTCTCAACACAGTGCTTACAGGTATTGTACATTGGGTAAAGGTTGGCACGACTGTGCTTTTGCCCATGCCTTAAGAAATTAGTCTGTCGCAATTACAGTTGATTTGCAATGCTTAATATTTTTGGTTTGACTGCCCAATTACATGCTATATGTATGTTACTCTTGTAGACGATTCAAGATGTTGCAAAATAATGAAGCTAATTGATTTCTCTGAAAATTGCAGTGCGAGACCATCAAGCAAATTCACATGCCAAGAAAGGCTGGGAAATGTTCACGGATGCTGCAATACGTGCCCTATCTCAGCAAAGGAAAGGCATTGTCTTTATTCTATGGGGCAATTCTGCACAGGAGAAGACCAGGTAGCTCCTTCGATTTGTCCTCATTCGACAGTGTAGGTCAATTTTCTGGTTGAGGGGTAGCCTTTTCTGGAAGGTTTTGAATGATGGATGCCTTGCTTTTCATTATGCATTCCTTCCTGTATTTGGTCATTTTGGACTTGAACGCCATGCTTTTTGTCGCAAAAAAATATTTAAAGGCGTTCCGATTACTCCTGGGTGTCATGTGAAACAGGCTGATTAATGCCAGTGCTCACCACATCTTGAAGACAGCTCATCCTTCTGGTCTCTCAGCAAATCGAGGTTTCTTTGGTTGCAGGTACATATTTTAATTTCCGCACTTCTGATCTGGTCTTTTATGTGACTTTTTTATTTGAACCGTTTGATCTTTTGTTGCATTGTTTATTTCTGAACAGAATCTCAACACAAAGATTCCTTAACAGTATCGAAATGGCAGAGGCCGAACTCCATAGCAATGTGGTTATATTTCGTGAAGCTCAAGGACATAGTGTGATGGCAGAAAATATTCTCAATAATCTCGTGCCTTGATTGAGCTGCCGAGAGATTGGGATTTCAATTTTCTGTCAGAACTGACTGCAATGAATCTCTTTGCAGGCATTTTTCTCAAACAAACAAGTTTCTAGAAAACGCTGGGCAATTGCCAATCGACTGGCAGCTGTAATGATTTCGCCGCATTGGGCAGTGCACATACACTGCCTCGACATTAATGCGTACCATATCGCTTTGTGATTAGTATAGTGAACATTGGCTTGGAATTGCTATCCTTCAAGATGTTGGGGCACGACTTTCCGTGCAGTTTGGTGAACGGAAAACTTAGGACTTTTTGATCATGCGTGGTGTTGTCACTTGTGAAAAGTTGACGCTATCTATTTTGTATTTATCAGTTTAATAGATTTGACAACATATCTTCCTGGATAGATTTTATCTGTTGTCTTGAGAACACAGTATGTTACAGGGATTTGTTCACTCTCTTTAAGTAATGTCATCAACATTTTTTTGACATGGGTGAACTCTTAAAAGTATGTAATCAACTGTCATACCCGCACACTTTGGTTCACCTATTCAAATATCCTGTTGCGAATTCAACTAGATCCTATACATCCACTCAATCTGGTACAGTAACCTAAAGACCTACATGTTAAGACAGTCTGCAGGAAAAGATGGAAGCTGCTAGTGAAATCAACTTATGTTACGTTACAGATACAACGAGTCTATTGTATCGTCTCTCCGTCTCGGGAAACACTGGGAACTCATCACAGTCGTCGCTGAAGTTGTAGTGCTGGCCAACAGCATGGAGCAATCCCGACACCTGATACATGGACGGTCGCTCTCGTGCGGCGGCCTGCACGCACGACAAAGCGATTTTGAGAACTTGCAGCATTTCGCCGTCAACCCCCTTTCCTCGAAGGGAGCTGTCCAAGGCATCCGTAATGCAGCCGCTGGAGACCAGCACCCCGACCCACTCGACCAGAGTGCCCTTGAAGTCACTGTCGACTACATCCACGGGTTTTCGCGCAGTGACAAGCTCCAAGAGCACGACGCCGAAGCTATAGACATCACCCCGCATGGTGGCCACGAGGGTGCGGACATATTCCGGCGCCACATAGCCCACGTCGCCGAAGTCGCCACTGATGGCAGTGTTGATGTGTGTATCAACCGGTTTCATGACACGCGCGAGACCGAAGTCGGTGATCCGGGGCTCGAATTCATCGTCGAGGAGGATGCAGTTGGAGCTAATGTTGCGATGAATGATGCGGGGATTGCAGCTATGGTGTAGCCATGCGAATCCCCTCGATGCGCCGATAGCAATCTTGAGGCGTGTCTTCCAGTCCAGTGGCTCCTTCTCGAATGCGTCGTGGAGGCGGTCGTTCAAGCTCCCGTTGGACATGTGCTTGCAGACCAAGAGCCGTTCCTGGCCAACGACACAATACCCAAGTACGGGGACGAGATTGCGATGGTGAATCTGACCGAGAGAATCCATTTCGCCTCTGAATTGGCGCTCAGTGCGTGTGGGACCTTGCAATCTCTTGATTGCCATGACGGATCCATCTGTGAAGTCGCCTATGTACACTATCCCGGATCGACCAGACGCTACGATGTTCTCCTTGCTGAATCCGTTGGTGGCGTCCATCAAATCACTCAACCTAATCATGACCAGCGGCTTTTCGAACATGGACACGATGACAGACTTGGGCGCCTTAATGCGGGAAGCCCACTTGCTCTCATCGCGTAACATTGTGGCTCTCTTCTTATTCGTGCTGCGAACAATGCAGCAGAATATGATGGCCCCGATGAACAACACCCCGACAGCGCTTCCAACTGCTCCTCCAACGATCACCTCCGCGGTTGCTCCCTTCCGGTCCCCTATCCTCGCACATTTATTTTTGAGTGGGCGTCCACATAGGCTTGTGTTGTTCAGAAAACTGCTGGCGTCGAATCCAGACCGATTCTCGAACTGACGCTCCACCAAAGTGCTTGGAATGAACCCTTCCAGTCTGTTGCTCGACACATCGAACCTCTGGAGGCGGTTTAGATATCCAATCTGCTCGGGAATTGTTCCCGACAATTCGTTGTTGTTTAGCAAGATGTCATTCATGAACTTGCATTCTGCGAGGCTCGAGGGAATACTCCCTTGGATCTTGTTCCGCGAAAGGTCGAGGTCCACCAGATTGGGGAGGTCCGAGCATAACTTGTTCGGAATAGGTCCTGTGAAGCTGTTATCCGACAAATCCAGCCGGGTAAGTGCATTACACCCTTTCAATCCCTGCGGGAAAGAGCCATTAAGACGAGACCCTGAGAGTTTGATGAAGTAGACAGGAGGTGCGTTGTTACCATAGCATGTCACTCCATACCACGTGCAGATTGAACGAGGAGAGGAGGTTGTGTTCGTCCATGTGATGAGGTGTCCCTCGGGATCTCCTACTGACGCCTTGAAATTTAGCAGACAGCTCAAGTCGTCTCTTAGTGCACAGGCTGTTTGTAACATTACCAGCATTCCTAGACAGAGCTGGATCAACAGCAAAGCCATGTGGATGGCCGGATTGAGTCGCACTCCTCAAGTATTTTGATCTCGTTGTTGCCGCCAATTAGTATTGACCAACTTCTACTTTGCTACATGATCATGTCTACCCTGAGCTTCGCCTCGATGGGTGCGCATTTTCATGCCTCTCAACCTCTTGGAGGGGTTCAGATTACAGCAAATGAAAAAACGCGTGTTTTGCAGGTGTCATCCGACTCTCCTGCATTGTAAAGATCATCACGAGAATATTAGCCTTGCAACATTGGCTATGGTGAAAACCATTTCAGCTTATTGTCCCACCTTCTACATCCACGTGGTATAGCTAATTAGAGGATTCAGAATGAATTTTTTTGAAGAGGACTTTGGTGGTGATTCTCTTCGAACATCTAACCATCGCATCATCTTACATGTCACTTTGTCCAATTTGCTTTAAGAAAACATCAATGAAGAGCGTGCGCACCATGCGTGACAGCATACTTAAGAAGAACCCTAGGCGAAAGGAGTTATCATTCACGAAAGCATGGCCACAGAAACTATTTGGATCACTGTTGACAAATATGTTAGCGGGCAGTAACATGGTCTGGTACTCAACAAACCGAGCTGTGTAATCGGCCACCAACATTGCCCCCAATGAAAAGCTAGTGCTGCACAAATCCACGTTAAGTGCTTGCTTGAGAGTTTTGAATTCCAAGAGTGATTGCAGATAGCACGCTTATTACCTGCAAACAGGTTTTGGAAGCATATGCTACCGAGATCGTACACATAATCACAGCATAATGAAGTGAGGAGGTACCTTAGAACACTAGGAAAGCTTGCATGTGCGTTGCTCACACACCTTGACGCTTTCCTCTCCAATGATAGGCACTTCTCATTATGGCCAACTTTGGGAGTCGCGAAGGAAAGAGCAAATCAGGCCCTAGTGTAAAGCACTAAGCCAGTACACCGCTCATAGCACACCGAAAGACGTCATCAGTCCAGCACCTTCACAAGAAGATGAAGCTGTATATTCCCGTGGTATTCGAAGTGCTGGTAGAAGTACAAAACTGGACATGCCTCCCTTGAGCCAGAAAAGAAAGCAGGCAAAGCGTGTAAAGGTTTAACCACATTGTATAGTCACGAGAGCTGTCATCAAGTCACAAGAGACATAATCAACTCCTGTCTTCTCCCCATACCTTGCGACACCTTCTGACTTCACAAAAGTACCGACTCCAGGATGTTCCACGACTCCAATATGATTCACACTGTCTTCACAATGCCCACGGGGCTACCTCGAGCTAAGAACATCGAATGTAAACATCAACCACCAGGAAAATTTGCAGCACAAAACTCTGCAAACACCTTCCACTGCCTTCAAACCTCCATAGTTGTCGCCATTACCATCACTACCTCTCACCAGTTCGGCTCTCTCGACAAACAAACAAACTCGGCCAAAGATATAACATTTCTAATCACTACTCCTACCACGCTCCCACAAACAGCCCCTGGAAAACAAACAAACAAACAGAACAAAACAAAACAAAGTTGAAAAAAAAAAAAAAAAAAAAAAAAACACACCCCTCCGTACTGAACTGCAGCAAGAGGAGGCAGCCTCCAATGCAAGCTTTAAACAAGAAAACGCATCCCCGACGTCAGCTTGCAGTGGAACACCGACCCAGTGGGAAAGAAAAGGCAAATACAGCTAACAAAAGGGGGGAAACAAAGTAGTCATGTCTAGAGCGGTGGAGAACCTCTGCCACTGCTGCTGCTGCTGTTACGTCAGTTGTTGCAACAAGGTTTTGAAGGGCAGCTCCGAGGAATCAAAATGAGAGCTGGGTGACGAAGACAAAAGCAGGCATTGACTGAGGTTGACTGACTTCCTGACTGACTGCTTGACTGGCTTGGCCCAAACCCATCGTTCATGTCTTCCTTCCCATTCATACTTACTCTCTGCTACTCCTGCTGCTGCACACATGGTGGCCAGAATCCTCCTCACCTATTAACTCTCATCCACTTATTCTTCTTCTTCTTCCTCCTCCTCCTCCCTCCTGCTCTCTTGCCTTCTTCATGACCTTGCCCTCATCCTGCGAGAATCACTGCTGGTGAATAGTTTCACCTGCAGGGATGGACACGAAGTTCCGTTACCACTGGATTAGGGTTATCTACTTACTGATCAGTGACAGTCTTGTGCAATGCTGTGGTCTCATGGTTGCGGTTAGACTTGGGTTTTTTCAGTAGCTGCGGTCTATTTGTTTCTCAATCAATCTCATGTGTAGATTTGTGTGTTTGAGATGATCATTTAGAAATAGAATAATTGGTTTGGTTAGTTGGATTGTTATGGAACTTGAGCTTGGATGTTGAGGTGGGTTGCTTGTGTGTTATGGTTGTATATGTGAGTATCAGGTTGGATTAAAAGTTCAACGCAATGTGAAAATGTGCACTTATTGATGGATTAAATAAATAATGCACTATTTGTTAATAAAGTATGAAAACTAGTTACACTTAAAAGATTTATGATTAAATATATATATATATATATATATATATACACACACACACATATATATATATATATATTATGTTAGCTTAGCTGAATAGGTTTTGTCATATTAATCAGTACATCATTGGCTTATGATGACTTGAGTGGCTTCTTTTTATTTTGAAATAAAATTTATGAGTAACTATAAATTTTGATGTTTTTAAAAAGACTGAAGCACCAAATCCTGGATTTAGAGTTTACAAGACCTTCATTCAAAACACAACTTGATATTTTAAAACAAAATTACCAATTAGGTATTTAATAAATATAAGATGTTCATGTGAAAAACTTATGTTAAGCATTATGTATATATACATATATATATATATATACATATACATATACATACTAATCAATCAATCAAGCTACAAGATGGATTAAATAAATAAGACTTCACACAAGGTTAATGAAATTCAAGATAGCTTCAACCTTGCATTTATCTTTATTTGCTTACAAGTTAAGAGTTAAGAGTTAAGAGTTATATTTTTAATTATTTTATATAATTAATAAATCACAATTTATTTGAAAATAACCAAAACTTTCAAAGGATTTTTTTATTTAATGTTTTCATAAATGGTTAAAGAATTATGATCTTTAACTTAACTCATAACATAACTTAATTATAATTTTGGCATAGATTTGTAAAATAAATCAAATCAATTAAAATTATTTAAATTCTATTTATTTATTTCTCAATAATTTTAAATTTTAAAATAATAATCATCTATTTATTGAATATAAATGATAAACTGTATAAAAAAAAATTGCTGTAAAAGCTTACAAATCAAAGAAAATTGTGCTAAGAAATAAAAACATAAAATTTGATTTTTTTGAATTATTCTTTAAATAATAAAGCAGTCTTAAGACAAAATATTATCAAATATTATGTATGCAATTCTATATTGTAATATATATGTACACAATGTATTACTAATGCCCCCACAATTTTTGCTATTGCCAGTACAATTTGTCATCTACTCAACATACTTCTAATCTTTTTTAATCCAATAAAATAAATTAAAATTCCTAATACACACATATATTTTTGAAATTAATATATATATATATATATATTTAATTAAAAAATTATGAATCAATAAGGATAAATTATTTTACCAAAAATTTAGTAAAAAAATATTAAGAAAAAAATTATTTTTAAAATATTAAGAATATATAAATGATTAAATTAAATTTAAATTTAATATATTTAGTATTAACAAAGAGTGTGGGTGGGCATGGGGTACACGGCAGATTGAGGTGGCAATAGCAAAAGTTATAATAACATATAGTGAATGGCTGGTGGCATTAGTAATACTTTGTATATATATATATATATATATATATATATACATTAGATCACCTAAATTTAAAAAATTTAGAGATCACAAATAGAATTAAAATCAAACTTGACAAGTAATAATAAACTTTGAGTAGATTGTAACTAATTGGTGTATTACACAAATTGCAATGGTTTCTTCAAAGGAGATATTATAATATGTGTATTCATAATTAGAAAGTTACAATTCTAAAATCCAATAATATTAAACTACATCTGTTCTTAAACGTGATGTCTTGAGGTTCAAACATAGAACACATTATCTTTTTTTAGAATGTTGTTAATAAATAAATAAATAAATAAACTGAAGCCATAAAGCATTGATAATTTACAAGACTTGAATCTCCTAAATCTCTTCAAGTGTTAAAAATCCTGGTATGGTATTAGAACTTTAAAGGCGCCAACTTGAACAGAAGAGAATGAAAAAGCAGTAGAAAAAAATGAAACAAACAACCCAAAGATATGTGTGGAATCATTCATGCAGTGATCTGCTTTCTGTTGTCCAAACAACGCAATAATACAAAATGAAGCCTCGGCGTTGAATGCTGAATTGTTGGGGCCCTGGATTCAGAGAGAAGAAATTTGTCATTTGGCACCAGTTTAAACAGCCATAGCAAGTTCAAAGGTGGAGGAAGATCCACAAGCATGACAAGAATAAGAATCATAGTCAGCTCGCCATCGTTCGAAGCCAACACAACTACAAATTCAGGCGCACATCAAAACATACTAATCAACATCTACATCTACATCGACGACGCGATGGCCAGGGACACCAAAGCCAAGTCCATTAACACAAAACCCCTCTGATCTCCACTCCCCTGTCGAAGACAAGAGCATCAAATAAAACAAAATACCAGTCACCGAATCAATGAACTGTTCAGTGTGGACAACTTCGATGTTTCACCAGACAATGCAAAACGTGACACACGACTTTCATGCAGTGTTCACTAAGATAGTAAAGCTCATGGTAGATGTTCGCATGAAGAAGACCACGGAGTTTTCTCCCCACATCCAATCGTATGAAGCTGGATCATGGACAAGACTTGCAGATTTCTGAATCTGGATTAGATGAAAAGAACTACCCATCTGAGTGAAACCAGTGAAAGTGTTGCGAAACTCACACAGGGTTGTTTGAATCAAAAAGGCTTTATTAACGAAGTGGATCAATATACACAGGAGGACAGTCTTGGTCCACTACTAGAGTGAAGCAGATCGACAGTTTTCATCTACACACAGGGGAGACAAAAATGGATGCTTTAGAGTGGCGCCAATGGAAGCAATTGATTGTTTGGATGCATTGGCAGAAGAAATGGCATTAGTACGTGTTTTTTGTTTTCTTGAACTGCACATGGTTGTTGATTTGCAAGTGTTAGCAATAATGCTCTATTTGTGTTTGGTGCACAATTTCAACTGTTCCTTCTTGTTATGTGGGTAGTTTCTCTTGTTTGTCGCAAACTGTGCAATAAGTCGTTGCGGACTTTGCTGTCATGGTTGGTGGCATCATTCACTCGTGTTAGAGTTTCTATAAGAGTCAAGGTCAATTTTGTGGAGAGGTTAGAGGTGCAGAGCTTACAAGACAAGAAAGGAAGTTCTTTAGGGTTTGAGTTACCTTACCAAGTAATCCATTGATCTTATTAGGATTCTTTTGCAAATTAGAGAGGATTCTAGGTTGGTGTTTATTTATCATTGCCAAAGTCTGATGCATCTGTGAAGGAGTTTTGTAGAGCATCTTTCAAGAAATTCAATGCTAGGATAGAGGTAGAGAGGTTTATAAGCACCAAGTCTAGTAATTGCTTCTTTCTTTCTATTGGGATGTCCTTGAGTTTGTTGTGAATTAAAATAAACCTTCATTAGTTAGAAGACAATTATCATCTACAAATGAGTTTTCATTTAAAAATTCATTCATTCAACTTTCATCCATAATTTATCATCTGAATTGATTGAAGTTCATCTTTGATTAAAATTCATCCAACATTCAATTGTTTATTCAAACTAACATAATTCAATCTTTACCCTAAATTAACTTCACCACTTTCAGGTCTTACAAAGGAGAATTGTGGATGAATATTGGTCATTGTGTTGCCACCATAGATTCCATCATCTCGTCAAGCGACAGTCACAGTAGGTTGCAACTGTAGTGTTGAGGCTTATAGTGTTTAAAGTTATTGGTCTTGTAAATGAATGTAGGAGTGTTGAAATAAATAGCAAAAAATAGGATGTCAATGCAAGAATGGATCTTTTGTAGAGTTTTCTTTGAGAAGAAATTTTGAAATAAATTTTTTTCCCTTAAATTAGCTAATATATATTTATGATTTTTTAATTGTAGTTTTTATTGTCATTAAAATATTAATTGAGCTCCTTGATTCAGGATCAAAATTTTAATTGAGCTGTGACTTGCTTCAGAATCAAGATCAGTGTGACTAGTCTGGTAGAGGTAGAGAAAGAGGCGAGTGATCGGCTAAACTGTTGGTGTCAAGGTGTACGCCCATTGAAAGTCACTCGAACAAAATCCGACAGAATTTCATGTTGTGAGGCCTTTTGGTCGATGCGCACAACATGAAATTTGGAGAACTTTGAGAGAGTCAAGATCTACGACAGGTTTGGGAGCTTGTTGCGTGATTACTCTGCCATCGTAACCCGATCTCCTTCCCAGTCGTCGCTGCAATTTGTCGATCTCTATCCTCCCTTGAAATCCTT